TATATAGTGCTCTGTGAACATAAATTAGTTAGCCCAATCAGTTAAATGATGAAAAATTAGGTGTCTATTTACTTATGACCACGCTGTGTATGTATCCCTTTCAGTGGACCCTGGCTGATCAATGAAATATGTTCAGAGATTCCTTTTCATCTCTTGTGACTCTCCCTCCATCTCTTTTTCATTCATTAATGTGGTGGTTTGATTACTTTCACACAACACTGGATGCTCCCTTTTCCCCACACCTCAGTCTCTTCACCGATGCCTCACTTACTGTATGGGGTGGTTCTAGACACCTACACCATTTTGGGGGTTTGGTCTCCAGAGGAGTGGTCTTTATATGTATATCAATATCTTAGAGTTGTTGGCTTCTCGTTGTACTTGCCAGCATTTTCAGTCTTAGTTGTCTTGTCATCTTGTGATGATCCATTTACTCATTTGGACAATTCCAAAGTCATATCTTACGTCAACCAATAGGGTGGCACTCAATATTGGACCTCTGTTTTATTACTCTGGAATTTATTTTCTGGACACACAATCATTATGTTCAGTGTATCATTGAATCTGGTGGTGTATTGTTTGTCTCATATGGTTCACGTCCTTTCCATGGAGTGGCCTCCTCATCTGCTGGTATTTTGGTGGATTTTTTTCCACTTTAAGAGTTCTCTCATCATTGACTTTGCAACTTCCCTAAACATCAAACATTCTCTTTTGTGATTGCTGATACCTGGACTCTGCAGCTCTGACAGTTGATGTTCTGAGTCAGGATTGTACCAACCATTTTCTTTATGCTTATTCTCTTCTGTGACTTCTTCCAAGGGTTTTGTCTTTTATTTGTGACACATCTTGACAGTGTCTTTCCAGTGCTTCTCATGGCTTACTCAGTCATGGTTTTGCCTTAAGTGATTCTTGACATTCAATGAGTCTCTTTCTCTACCACCATGAAGATCTTTATTATATGAACCCCAGAGCTCCAGCTTTCATGACAAGGTATTATCTTCATGTGTGGTATTTCTACAGTATCTTATGCAACAGTCAAGCTTCTTTTTTTTTTTTTTTTACTGAGTAGTCTGTTCTGTTTTCTGTCTCATTCCCACGGACCTTCCACTCTTGTACCTTATCAACACAAGTGGATGTTTCTGCTGGTTCATTCAACACTCCATTTTTTGTGTTGTTCTATTTTTCCTCACCTCACTTACTTCTTCACCTGGTTTTTCAGAAGAATTTGTTCATGTCTACAATCATTGGCTATAGGGCATCTTTGTCCAACGTCTTTCATCTGTCTGTTATCTGGCCCTTCTCCTTTCCTCTCTCTCTCTCTCCTATTCATACTAACCTTTGGAAAACATTAACAATTTAATATTTAAATGTTGTAAGTAGTGTTTGTTTTGCATTTCAGAAGATACAGGAAAGTTGAGGTACATATAAAAATGGTCAGAAAAGATTACATCTTGGTTTAACTTTTTTTTATATTAAATTCTGTCATTGTCAGCAAAGTATCTACTTCTCAGTTAGTTAATTTTAGTTACCCAGTTTATAATAGTATCAGTAAAAAGATCACAACTCATTTCGTTTGTTGTTGTTTTATTGCATGTACTTGTAGTTAAATATCAAACTAGACAATAAAAATAACCACATATAATTAAGAATGACCAAAGTTCACAAAAATGTAAGGTCAGAAACTAAAGTTAAGCTAACACATTCGTTGTAGACTTACAGTATGTCAATTTATGTTTTGAGGAAAAGTAATGCTTTGGAACTGTGTCCCAATGTTTCTGAAGGTATGAGACAAAAGATAAATGTTAAATTACAATTTATATAACTTTTTATGTGGTGATGAAAGTTTATTCATTGTTTTTTGACTTATAAATACTCTGTCATTTATAGAAAACGCTATGACTACGTTCTTCATGCTCGAAAATTGGCAGATGGAGACTGGTCAGAATGTAGTGAAGAAGAAGAAGAAAAAGCAGAAGAGGAAATGGAATGGGTGGGAGAACCCAGGAAGCTTTCTCGATCATACAAAAATCAGGTTTGAAAACATTCACCATTGTTTCTTCTTAAACTAGAAAATTTGTGTATGAAGTGTGTATTTAAATCTAGTGAATTAAAATAGTCTCGTTTCTTATGTCAGAACAGAATATGATACAAGTTTAATAAATAGCAGTCAACATAAAATGTTGCATTATCCATTTTATAGTAAATGTTTGTGTAAATCTGTCTACCATTATACTTTATTCACTATACCCAATCTGGGGCTGTAATAGTTTTGAATAATTAAGTTTATTTATATCTATGAAAATCTATAACTTGTATCTTCTGATTTTATTTATAAAGCATTGAGTTAAACAATTTGAAGGAGTTAATGTACAAATCTTTATATAGTTGATGTTATCCGAATGGCTTGTTGAAGTTCCCTCAGACCTGTCTGAAGAGTGGTTGTTGGTGTTGTGTCCAGATGGGAAACGAAATCTTGTGATAGCTTCAAGGGTAAGGATTCTTCTAATCAACTTTGTACATGTGGGACACAAGTCCCATTGTTTAATTCAACATGTGGGTTTCTTCCAGTACTCTTCAAGATCATCATTGGGCCTATGCTTATTTTCTTTCTAACTAAATAGAAAAAAACAATCAGTCTTCTGCATATTTTATAACAATGGATCATCACAACATCAGTTTCTCATGGATTAACCCTAAGTTTATAGGCACCCTTTTCTGCACATGTCACAAGGTTTTATTGAGTTACATTCAAAATGTAATTAAGCAACTTTACTATCAATATATGTCAATTAAATTAGCATTATAATGTATGTTATAATTCAATGTTTTATATTATCTAAATTTTAATTCCTTTATTTCAAAAGAAACTTAAAAAATTCTTAATCATTGGTTTTGTTGTCCTGTAATGTACAAGCATTTACAAGTCTTAACTTTAGGCCTCTGTTACTTAAATAATCTTTCAAATATGCCAGATGTCTATGTCTAGACAGAAATAAGGCAATTTCACACTCAATTCTACTTGTTTGTGTTGATGTTTATATCCAAGAGAAAGAGCTCATTTTAAATTACAATCTTACAGTGGTTATTTTAGAATTGGTGCACAGAAGTCCTTACAAAATAAGCCAAACTGCTCTTAATATTGTTGCCAATTTAGCTCTTGCTAGCAGTTAGCATTGTTTCTCACCTAGAAATATGTTAATTAGATAAACTTTTAAATTGTATTTAGATTTTAGTTTTATGTTTTAGTTAATTATGTGTTATTTACGTTTTAAGATACATATTTGAAAAGTTTAATATTTTTTTGAAACACAATCCCAACTTTGCCTCAGTTCATGAGGCTTAGGGTAGTATGCAAGTGCAACAACATTCTGCTGAAGGCTAAAGTATCTCTGCCGATGATACTGTAATATTGTTTGAGGACACCTATTTATGTGTGTCAAGATAAATAATAATGCTAAAGGACAGGAAAACAAAAAATATACTATATATGTGAAAATGTAAACATTTGCAATTAAGAATATAACCAAAGGGAAATATTTTAAGATTATTCAATGAAAAATTAAAAGGTATGTACACTTTTTCTGTTTCTTGATTTTAAACATTTCATTGTGCTGTATGTTGATGATAATACTCAAAATATTCAGTTTGAGTGCAAATAACAAATTTTTAGTTAAAATACTTAATTAAAACAGTCTCATTCTTTGTGTAGATAATATTTGTAATCTTTAACAAAATTTTACCAATTTTCATGAAGATACGTTAAGATCTTCAGAGTTACTGTATGTGTTGTTGAACTTGTATCATTCGCCGTGTAGGCTAGACCCATGTGGTTAACTGAGTATGCAATATGCATTGATGTTTCCATGTTTTTGACATCTCCTGAACTTTCTAACATTTTTTTATAGTAATCATTTAGTTCCATAATGGCGACTGAAGACACTGACAGTCAGTGATATTACTGCCTTTGTGTACCACGTGGTTTGTTCCGTTCTTTTCTCGTGTACTGGATTCACAACCTCCTGTTTCTGTTACTTCAGCTGAGCCCACTCCTTCATGTCTTTTGCCATTGTTATTTCCATACTGCTCTTGCTCCTTGTTTTCTCTTCCTAATGTGGATTAGGTAGTCCCACTTTCTTCCTTCACTGCTTGGATTCTACAGGTATGTGTTTTGTTTCCTATTCCTAATGTGGATTAGGTAGTCCCACTTTCTTCATTCACTGCTTGGATTCTTTAGGTATGCGTTTTGTTTCCTCTTCCTAATGTGGATTAGGTAGTCCCACTTTTTTCCTTCACTGCTTGGATTCTACAGGTATGCATTTTGTTTTCTATTTCTCTGGTAATTTTTTCTGAATCTTGGGCTATCTTGTTGCTTGAGCCACCTTCATCCAAATCTTCTTTTTTTTTATCAGTTTAGGAAACTTCTTTTTCTTTCTCTCCATCTACTTGATTTTTTTCTTTCTCTCCATCTACTTGACTTCATCTTTTACTCTCCTTCTTTGTTCATTCTCATGCTTTACTTTCATTTGGAGGCTTTCCATCATGACCCAATCAGATTTACAAGGGCAACTTGTTCATACCTGTTTTCCACTTTACCTTTACTGTTTTTCCACTTTGTCCCATTTACCTTGGTTTCATTGTTTTTGGGGTATATTGTTTTTGGGTCGCTTTTCTGACTTTTGGCTACCTCAGTCTCTTCTCCAGGACCACTGTCTTGTATTTTTTCTTTGTGATGTGTTTTTTGGGGGTTATTTATTATACATTGGCATATTGAGCTGATGCATCTTTTGAACAGTCATTTGTGCTCACTGCATTTTTTTTGCCCTTGG